GGAAGATCCACAGAAACACATGCACACACACACACACACCCCCCTCCTTTGCCCTCGCTTCCAGCTACCCTGATAGCTTCAGGTGGGAAAAGCACCGAAGGCTTGTCTCTTTTCAGGAATATTTCCTACAACCCCTTGAGAGAGATCTTCCCCGGGCAGTTTGAGACCCTGCCCCAGCTGCGGTCTCTGTGAGTCCCACACCATCCCCGACCCTACAGCGCTGCCTCCGCCTGCGGCAGCCCAAACCCAGCCCGGGGCCACCCGCAGCCTCCTCTGCGCTGCTTTCCTTCTGCAGGAGCTTGGAAGGGCTGGAGATCCCCAACATCCACAACCTGACCTTCCAGAAGCTGACCAACCTCTCCCACATGTGAGTGGGGGGAACGGGCGGCTGCTGCTGCCCCGGCACCCGTGGCTGGGGGTGCTGGGTTGGGGGGGGCAAACAGGTTCACTCCTACCCCCCTGAGCAAGTTATTTCAGCCCACTGGAAGCCCCCAAGCCTGACGATACTGCTTAAATCCCCCGGGGCAAGAGGGTCTCCCCTAGCTGGGGCTTGTTTGGAGCACTTTGCCGGTGCGAAGGCAGCGGTCCGCAGAGCTGGGGGTGCCCCATCCGGGGGTGTGTGCGATACAAAGCGTGATCCCCGTTTCTGAAGGGGCGTGCTGCACAGGTGATGTGGGCAAGGTAGACTCTGCCAGGCCAAGGCGTGCTAGGCTGCGTGCTGAGCGCGCTGGTCCTTCTGCTTGGGTCTGAGAGAACGAGCCAGGAACCCCAGGGATGTGCAGATGGACAGGCCGGACGGGCATCACACGCAGGGTGCAAACCGGACCGTGCCGCCAGCTGTGAGTGCTTCAGCATCTCCGTGGAAGGAGAAAGTAAATCATTCATTCTCTCCAGATGATACGCATTTTAAAGTACCTGTAATGAGAGACAACTGTACATCTTCTTTTCCGTAATTGGCCTATTTGCACTATAAATATGGTACATCTTCTACCTGACTTGCTAATAAGCAATCACTTTCTCTCCTTTTATCTATAATTAAGCAGAAATGAACATCACATTGCCATTTTGTAGTCCCTTTCTAACATGGAGTTTTGCTAAGTTTATATGGGTTGACTCTTATAAGGCTTGAAAAGATTAATGTGAAATAACATACCGGGGGAATAAAAAACGTGAATCCCTGTTACTGGAATTTGAAGGATCTGAATAAGGGATTGAATTTTTTTAAATGTTAGTTTGTGAGAATCTCCACCCAGACAGGGAAAACCATGGCCAAGGGGCTGGAGGGAGCCGGCGCGGGGCGGGGGCTGTGCACGCCGGACCGCGTTTCCTGCTGGTCCCGGTGCCGTCAGGAAAACTTCCTCCCCCCTCCCCGACAGCTACTTCAAGAAGTTCCAGTACTGCAGCTACGTGCCCCATGTGCGCAGCTGCAAGCCCAACACCGATGGCATCTCCTCCTTCGAGAACCTCCTCGCCAACATCATCCTCCGCATCTTCATCTGGGTCATCGCCTGCCTCACCTGCTTCGGCAACCTCTTCGTCATCTGCGTGCGGTCCTTCATCGTCACGGAGAACAGCCAGCACACCATGGCCATCAAGTCCCTGTGCTGTGAGCTGGGTGGCAGAGGGGCAGGGACTGGGGAGGGGGGAACGGGGCGGATGAGCTGCCCACCAGCGTCTCCCCAGGGAGGGGCTGCCTAGCTGATGCCAGCCCTCCCCCGTGCAGGCAGGCCCCTCTGCTGCCGTCTTTCCCTTTGTGCTGATGTCAGGTGGGTTCTGGGCATCCCTCTGTGCCTGGGACCTCTCGGCCCCTGCCCACAGGTCTGCGCTCCCAGGCACCAGCAGGCAGCTCTTTGCGATAGATAGATACAAACATATGTATATGCCTAAAGCCAAAAGCTGCCCGGACCCACGATGGCTTTATGGCGTTAACGCAAAGGGCTACGTTTGCCCGCTGGTGCCTTTTTCTCAGCGTACCTCACCTCCCCCAGGCGCAGATGGCCTGATGGGCATCTACCTCTTCATCATTGGAGCCTTCGACCTCAAGTACTCAGGCGCGTACAACAAGCACGCGCAGGGCTGGATGGGCAGCCTCCCGTGCCAGCTGGCGGGCAGCCTGGCCATGCTGTCCTCCGAGGTGTCAGTCCTGCTGCTGACCTACGTGACCCTGGAGAAATACTTCTCCATTGTGTTCCCGTTCAGCCACCACAGAGCTGGCAAGAAGCAGACCATCTCTGTGCTAGCGGTCATCTGGCTTCTGGGCTTCTCCCTCAGCATCGTCCCCCTGTGGTGTAAGGACTCCTTTGGGAACTACTACGGGAGGAACGGGGTGTGCTTCCCGCTGCAGTCCGACCTGGGCGAGCGGCCCAGCGCCCGGGGCTATTCTGCCACCATCTACCTGGGTAAGGCCACCTCGGGACTCGGTACGCAGGGAGGGGGACGACATGGGGCAGGACAGGCTTCCGTGGTGGTCATGGGGCTGCTCAGCCCAGCCGTCCCCACCAGGGTGGCACGAGAGCCCGCACCACCTCTGCGAGCGGGATGTCTGACTTTATGGGGGACTGCCATCCTGCTGGGACCCTGTTAGATGGGGGTGCCAGCTCTGCGCTCCGTCCCGGGCTGGGGAGGGTCCCGGCTTCACCCCAGAGCTGGCCAAGGCCGTGGGCACCGCTGGGCTAAGGCTGGATTTGGGACTAACCGGGGCTGCTGAGATGTCTCTGCCCCCTCTAGCGATAAAAGCAGGAGTTGTCCCGCTGCTGATCCCCGCTCATGAGGTTTGCACTCTGGCTACGCTCAGAGCGAGCTTTCGTCCTCTCCAGGCTTGAATCTCGCAGCCTTCATCGCCATCGTCTTTGCTTACTCCGGCATGTTCTACTCCATCCACGTCACCGCGTCCAACACAGTGGAGAGGGGCGTCTGCTCCCGCGAAGTCACCATCGCAAAGCGGTTCTTCTTCATAGTCTTCACTGATGCTCTCTGCTGGATACCCATCTTCCTCCTCAAGCTGCTCTCCCTGCTGCAGGTGGAAATACCAGGTGAACCCCCCAGTGAACCCCCCCAACCCCGCA